CCACCCTCTATCCACCAATTGGAATCCTCTCCAATGATTTCTCCCCACCCTAAGGAATCTTTGCTTAATTATCTTAAATTTTTTGATGATCTGTGAATAAACTAGTTTTGATATCCTTAAACTCATCTGGTAACATATAGAAAAAAGCATCTTTTTAAGTCTACATCCCAAATTGTATTATGAACAAATGATCAAAAAAGGAAAAAAAGAGAAACAGCTGTTCACAGAACAAAACAAATACATAAACAAATACACAGAACACACAAACATCTTTATAAAATTAAGAGCGCACTCAAATACATTCTTAACCAAATTAAATTATAGTAACTCTATTATAATTTTTAGAAATTTATAATTATAAATAGACTAGTCAGATTTTGTTATTTGTCAATTAGCAAAGATCTCTTATCAGAAAAATTTAGAAAGAAAATCTTATCTATAATATGCCTATTTTGTATTATTATATTTTTGTCTTGGTACTAATAAAATTTGACTCAGGTATTTCTGTATATTTTATTATCTGTTTGGGCCTTTGATTTCCATTTTGTCAGTACCTTCAGTAGGTCCCAAACTGGATCTAGCTTCATCGCTGTTAACTGCTTCCCCAGATCTGGCTCCGTGATATAGCTTAACAGCATACTCTGGTATTCAGATAGGTTGTTTAGCATTTTCTGGAGAAACACAAGGATACCCTCTGCCCCAGGTTAGTAATGGGACTGGGTCCTTTCCATTGTCCACTGTGGAGATCTCTCCAAAGGACTCTTTCAAGCCTTTTTCTCTTAGCTGATGGAATTGTCTTTCTGCTGCTGTATTTCCATCTTTTGTAAAATTTTCAAAAATGAATAGTATATATTGACAAGTGAAGTTGGAGGGATTAATTTCCCCTTTTGTTTTTGTAATTGAGTTTTGACTGTACGGTGAGAAATCTATGTCCTGTATTTCTGAAGAGAAAGCCATATATGGCCTTGCCTTGCTTAACCTAATATGACCTATCTGTGAAAAAAAGCAAATTAATTTTCACTTACCTGAAGGATAACACCACCAGAGAAATTAGCCCAAAATCAAGATATTAATATTGTCAAATAAAGCCTGAAAATCATTTTTGGTTGATCTGAACAGGGCACAATATATCTCTTTCTTAGATAAGTTGATCCAGATATGAAGAAGCTACCATAGCTTCTATCCCTTGGAGGCCACTGTCAGGCCTGCCATTATTTAAATGGTACATCAAAATCAAGCAGCTGTTTAAACCCCACTGTTTTTAGATTGTATTCCAAACCTCTGTATATGTTTGTAAACTGTCAAAGCATTTTAACACCAATTTTAATTTAGGACTGTAAAGCTTTCAACCTTATAAGGAATTAAAAGAATTGTAAATAATCTTTTAAAATATCCTCATTATATGACTTAAAAAAACAAAACAAAACAAAAAAACAAACCTATTTTTATCTTTAGGCCTGAAACAGCCTTTTAATTTAATCACCTTAAGGAGAAAATGTAAAAACTTTTCTTTTTATGTCAGTTGTAATGGAGAGAACCACTCTTATTTCCTGCTTTTTTCTATTCTCTTTGTATCTCTCCAGGTGAGCAACCCAGCACCTTTGTAGCTGCTCTACTTGGAGGCCATCCATACTTGCATTTGAAAAACCCTTTAAAATGTTTTTTCTTTAATTAATTTTTATTTCTTAGCCCAATTTTTAAAAAATAATTTAAAATTTTATCAAAGAAATAATGACCAATTGAGTGATATGAGAGTCTGGAGTGATTTAAACAATCATTTGGGTGGATTGAATTGTAACTTTGATTTCCCTTCTAAACAGCAGTGATGATAATGAAGTAAAAATTGGAGACCATTTTGTACTGAGGTTGTACTGGTTGCCTTTACTCCTAGCCTCAGAACTGGGCGAGCTGCTAGCAGCAGCCTATTTGTCTTAGTACCTGGAATGTGTTTTCTCAGGCCCACGTCCCCTCCCCAACCTTCAAGGGGACTATAGCTCTGTAGCCGTGGTCTCAGTGTGCATCCACCATGTGGGCCCACTGTTGCTCTGGCTCTGACAGCTGGGTGAATTGTTTTTGCCTAGAAAGGCACTGCCAAGGCCACAGCGAACCATAGTTGTGAGCCTCCTACTTAGCACCAGGTATACAGGATGGAAGTTGATGGTGTGCGCGCCAACCTCTGTGACTGGGTGGGGCAGACAGGTGCACTGGCGGCTGGGAAATCCCAGCTGGGTCTGCCTAGGACCAGAGCACAGGGCCCTCCCTGAACCCAGTTTGTGCCCCTCCCCCTGGTAGCACATCATTGCTTAGATCCAACTGCTTACAATTTAAAAGAACTTTCTCCTTTTTTATCTAATTGAGCAAAGCTAGAGGGTTTAAACTCTCATCTGCTGTACCTTTTGTCTGCCCTCCTTCTGCCATTTGAGACTTGATTTTAAAATGGTACTCCATGGAAGTCCTGTATTGTGGTCTTAGTAACATAAGTACAGGAACCAAGGAAGAAACAAACATTTTTATGTACATCTATGAATATCTATGGTTCTGGAAACTTTATCCCATTTTTAACTCAATCTGACTATTCCCTTTTGGGCATCTCTCAAACCTGTTTCTTTATGCTCGTTTATCTCTCTGGCTTTAGTGAACCTGTTTCTGGCCTTATTGAGCCTAAATCCCCAAGTTTTACACCCAATGCATGCCTGTGCTGAATACTGGCTCTCACCAATTCATTTCCCTCCCTTATGTGTGTTCTTTAAAAGTGTTCCTGCAGCCCACACTTACCTTGTACCGGGTGTCCTGCTCAGGCCCCGTATGTAGGGATCTTTTTTTTTTTAATTTTTTTATTTTAGGGAAGTGTCTACAGGGTGTTCAGGGTCTCACTGCTAGATCGGACTCCATAGTGATCCACTTGTTTATAGCCTTCCAAGAGCTGGGATTACAGGCCCACGCTACCACACCCAGTTTCAATTGTTATTTCAGTTGAACCTCCGGCCCCTGCACCTATTCACAGGAGCTTTAATCTGCTGAGCTATTTGGCTGGCTCCATATGTAGGGGTCTATTGGTTGTCTCTTGGTATGATCTGTTGTATCCAGGGAGAAATGGCAGAAATGAGGAAAAGTAGACAAAGAAGACAAGAGCTGGGTTAGGTGGCTCAACTGCTTGGTGGTAAGACAACCCGATTCCTCCTCCAGCAATAATAAGGGCCTTTATTTGTACCTTTACAAAGGTGTAAGACACAAGGTTGCCTAGTGACTGATGGCCCACAACATCCAGGCAGGATGTTTTTCTCAAGACTGAGGTAGCTTGACTGCTTTAGGCAATGAGGCCTCATCCTGCCCTCCTGCAGATGAACAATTTCAGTTCCACCAGCTCCCAATGGAATCCAAGGGGCCTTGACTGCTCTTGGTTATTCTGGTGAGAGGTGTGTATGTGTCTATCTTCCCTCCCCCCTGTGTGTCCATGTGTCTCTGCCAGTGCATATTTTGCTGGCGCATTTCCTGCCAAGTGTTCCTCGGGTTTCTGTGGTGCCCCTAAAGGTCCTCAGTTAAAGGTACAAAGAGATGGCATGGAAGTACTTTCTGACTTAAATGAGAAAAGTGAGGCCAATTACTGTGGTTCTAAAGTTGCTTTGCCTATATTGTAATTTAGCAAGCTTCCTATGGAATCACTTAAAAGAAAAAATATTTTAAAATGGTACAGATCAATGATAGAGCATTTGCCTTGCCTGGACAAGGTCCTGGATTCCAGGCTCAGAAGCACAGTCCACCCCTTCCCCGCATTTCAAAGGGAAAAACTGGTCTAGGAGTAGTTCATTGTCCCCTCTGCCCTGCCTGCAGACTGGTCCTTGCTGGCAGCAGGCACTGTGCCTCGGAGGGTGACCTTCCCTCCCCATGGGGCTGCTGTGCTTTCCATGCATGTCTGCTGGTCATCCTGTAGCTTCCAGCAGGGTGGGCAGCGAAGGTCTCACTGGATACGTCTGTCATTGTAGATATGGAGAGAGAGACTCTTGATTATAAAACTAGTTATTGGGCTGGGAATGTAGCTCAGTGGTACAGTGCCTGCCCGGTAAGCGCAGGGTCCTGAGTTTAAAAACTAAGTATTGGTGGAGTCCTGACTAAAACTACAGTCTTTTATTTTCTCACACTAATTTAAGACTACTTTTTTTTTTTTTTTTTTTTTTTTTTTGAACTGGGGATTGAACTCAGGCCCTTGTGCTTGCCAGGGAAGCACTTATTCCACTGAGCCATCTCCCCAGCCCTAATTTAAGACTTTTGGTAAAATAATCTGTACCATAAAACTTAGCATTTTAATTGTTTTAACTGTTAAGTTTAGTGGCATCAAGTCTGCTCACATTGTAGCGTAGCTATCACTGCTCTGCATTTTCAGAACATTTCCATCCCCTTAGTCAGTGACTCTGCTGATCCAACCCATTGCTCACTTCGCCACCCAGCGAACCGCCACACTACTTCCTGTCTCTTTACCTGGACTGCGCTAGGCCTGTGGTACAGGTGGAGTCACAAAACATGAGTGCTTTGTGTCTGGTTTATTTCACTCAGCATAATGTCTTGAAGGCATCCGTGTGGTAGCATATGTGAGGACTGCACTCCGGTTTTTACAGAGCTCAGTAGAGTGAAGTATATTTCTGTTATTATGCAATGAATTGGGCTGTGTGGCACTCCTACGTCATTTGTCCTTTCATCCACCAGTGGACATGTGGGGTGTTTCTGCCTTTGAGCTGTCATGAGGAATGACGTTACAGTGAATGTTGGAGTCCTGCCACCACATTTTTTGCTTGACCTCTTTAAGGACTAAAGGACTTTTATTTTAAGTGCATTTTTACTTGTGAACAAAATAAATTAATGGTGCATTGTAGATGTCAAAGCCAGTCCTTAAGCCTAAATCTCATCAAGTCAAATGAGACTGTGTAGTATATAAAAGAGGTTTAATTATAGGAACTATGAATAGAAAAATTAGCTAGAAATTGAATTGTTTTTATTTATTCAAGGAAATAACCAGCAAGTGCCTGTCAAGAATGAAGTAGACAGTTGTGAAACTTTGAAAAAGGTTGACACTAAGTCTTCAGAAAAGAAGATTCACAAAGCATCTAAAGAAGATGTGTGTTCTGAGAAACAGGACATGCCTTCAGTGGAGGTCTGTATTTTTTTTGCTTATGTATGAAAAAGAACATACCCCATATTTAGGGCTCAGAATACAAATTTCTGTATAGTAAGTCCATTTCTTTTAAATGCATTTGAATCCATAATAGTAAGTTTGATGTTTTTCAGAAAGCTTTATCTTTTAACTACTAAAATAAGCTTTAGTGGAACTAGATTATTCTACTCCCTAGCAAAACTCTTCTCAAGCAAATGAAGTTAACTCCTTGGTAACAGTGGTAGAGCAGAACCAGACTGTGGTCTTTTCTATCTAGCTGCTTGCAGTATCCGTTTTCTAGGGTATACTTGTGCAGAGTAGCTGTTCATATGTGAGTGCATCCTATTTAGGTTGATTGGACTTGAAGCCTAGAGCTGGGCAAAGGGAGGAAAATCAAGAGGTTCAGCTGCAGCTTGCCTCATGCACTTCCATAGGAACACGAAACTCAAGGACACAGTTGAACAGTGTCCTTGAGAGAATGAAATTATGAGCAAAGGGTATTATGTCCAGCCAGGTTGAAACTCAAGTACAGAGGCCACAGGCAGATACACTGAGACACAATTCACGAGTCTTTCTTGAAAAATCAAGTTATTAAAATTAAGCCCCCAAATAAGACAGAAATGAAAATACTCAGGATTAAAGAAGCTGTGATAGGGGTCTGTTGGTGAGGCTTTTGTCCGTCTTATATGCACATCTAAGACAAAACAGTTCGCAACAACATCTAAAGAAAAGACTGCAAATATAAAAGTAAAAGTAGTAAGATCTGTAAAACATAGGAAGTATGATTGAGAGGTAAGTGCGAACAAGTTTTTGATTGTATTGCGTAATAGCTAATGTATAAATTAAAATTTATAGTTTAAAAGGGTGATAACTAAATATTTTTTAGTTCCTTAAACAACCAGTATACACATATAGAAGAAACAACTCTTTGAAAGTTTATAATTCCTTTGGTGTTTCCTTTTTTTTTTTATATCTGTATAAATTATTCCCATCACGTGTCCCTCCATCCTTGTATGTGTGTAGGTTCATGGAAAAAAATTCAGAGCTAAGGTTTGCAAGGTCAGTCTTGAGAGTGTCCTGGAGTGGGGGTGAGAGGGCAGCAGTGAGTGCCAGCTCTCTCCTGGCAAGGTGCTGCTGTTGCCCCCTTACTCCTTGTGGCTGCTTCTGGTCTTCGCTGTCAGTAGTATGTGCAGCATCTGCCTTGCTGTGGCTCCAAGAGATGTGGGCTTCGAAGACGTGCCTGTCATCCTGCAGTGAGATGGAAGCCTATGCCATGATTGTGCTGTGGGGCAGACAAGTTGGAACTGATGACTCCAGGGTCTTGGCCCTCTGGTGACACCCTGAGAGCAGCAGTGCAGGTGCTGGCACGCCTCTGCTGTATGGGGTACAGTTGCTGCCCCAACTGTGCTCCCAGGCCTGGTCTTTCCCAGGTCCCCAGGTCAGGTGTGACCCTTTACACTGGAGCCTTGTTCCTCCTCTTCATCATTAGCTCCTTGAGTGTGCAGGCCTTGGAGCTCAGACAGTTCTTGCTTTTGGTCCCTGGGTGCCTCTTTTACTTTTCTCTCATCGCTGGGATAAAATACCTGACACCTAAAATTAAGCAAGGAAAGGTTTATTTAGCTCACAGTTAGCAGAGGTTTCAGTCCACACTTGGCTGGCTCCAAGGCAAAGTGGCACATGGCAGAGGGCAGCAGTTCATGGCTGAGGAAGATGGTAAGGATCAAAGGGAGGAGCCACAGCATCTGCCTCTCCTTTCCTTATATTCAGGCTGTACGCCCCCAGGGTAGGTGCAGCACTCACACCCATAATTCTAGCATTGGATCTCGAATTAATCACAAACTCTAGAAGCCTGCCCCATGACTGTATGAGGCTTTGGGGAGACAACAGACACAGACCATAACATTGGGGGTGGTCAAGCCTCCCTCTGCAGGTCTGTGAGTCTGATCTTTGACATTTGCTCCTCCTGGCTTACGTGCCGAGCACATTTGTACAGCTTTCAAAGCCATGTTGCAGAAGTGGGATGATGTTAGCTGTCCTGCCTCCCAGGCTTGTCTGGGAGGGTGCCTTCCGGGGTCAGAGGGACTCAGGCTGGGCCGTGCTGCTCAGAGTCACCTCCAGCCTCGTCAGCCATGCTGTAGATGTGGAGGCTGTCCTCTTCATTTCCTTTCTGCTTTTATGTCTCGCTCCCTCCTTTGTGGAACCATTTCTTCAGACCCTGTGAGTCTACTTTCCATTTCATTATTCATTTGCAGAAAGCCATTCTCAATAAACACATTCCCGAGTGTAGTGCTCAGTGTTTGTTTTTCTTGCACATTCTTAGGGCCTAACTGCAACCTAGAAAATTGTGTAAATCTGTCTGTTGCACACATAGAACTTTTTCTGTTCCTCTAGATTTATTGGCGAGGAAGGTTGAAGCCCATGTTTGGAAACTATAAATTGAATTTTAACCCTACCTCTGGCTTTTTATTTTCTTTCAAGCAGTTCCCCCCCCCCTTAAGAAAGTGATTCATAATTATCATAAAGGGAAAAAAGATCCATCCAAGGACTGGCAAGATAGCTCAGTAGACTACGGGCCTGCTTAGGCAAGCTCAGGGACAAGGATTTGATCCCCTGCACTACGTGCCCTGTCAGTCCTGCCCACCCCCCACAACCTGCCCCAGGAGGGCCCTGGTGGCATGTGCCTGTAATCCTAGTGTTGAGGTGGCTGAAAACAGGAGGATTACTCCAAGTCCAAGCTGTATAGTGAGACCCTGTACCAAATACTATAAAAAGAAACAAAACAATCCATCCAAAATAAACTACTCTTTACATTTTCTATTCTATTTCTTTTCTAGTAAAATTTAAAAAGCTTACTAGCTTAAGAGGTTCTGCTTATCACTATGTATGTATATAGTTATAATTCTGATTTTCTTATATGTTATCTTTTTTTTTTTTTTTTTTTTTTTTTTTTTTTATTTTTTTTTTTTTTTTTTTGTTTTTGGCAGAACTGGGGATTGAACTCAGGCCCTTGTGCTTGCCAGGGAAGCGCTTATTCCACTAAGCCATCTCCCCAGCCCCTATATGTTATCTTTTTTGAGACAGGGTCTCAACATGCAATTTAGGCTGGCCTTGAGCTCACTTTGTAGCCCATGCTGGTCTCGAATTCGCAATGATCCTCCTGTCTCAGCCTCAGGAGTGCTGGGATGACAGGTGTGCGCTACCATGCCTGTCCACATTTTGATTTTATGTGGTTGAAAAACAGGGAACTTTAGTGGTTATATAAACATCTGTCTTATTTACTCTTCTCTTGTTGCTGGGACAAAATACTGACACCCAAAATTAAGCAAGGAAGGTTTATTTAGCTCACTGTTTTTTGTTTTTGTTTTTTTAATGTATTTAGTACAGGATCTATAGGGTCTCACTGCACAGATCAGACTTGCACTGGCCCTTCTTGTTTTTCAGCCTCCCAAGCACTGGTATTACAGGCGTGCACCACCATGCCCAGTCTTAGTCATCATCTCAGTGTGCTCCAGGGGCGGGACCAGCATGGCAGGCCGGGGATCAGGCCCGCGGCCCCTGTGTCTGACTAAGCAGGCATTCTAATCCACTGATTTAGCTTACTGTTAGTGGAAGGTTCAGTCCATACTCAGCCGGCTTCAAGGCAGAGTGGCCCATGGCACAGAGCAGCCATACTTGGTGGAGGCAAGGAGCAAAGCGAGGGGCAGCAGCTCCCTCAGCTAGCTGGCCTCTTTTCCCTCCTTGTATTGTAATGCAGATTACCCACCCAGGCCCAGAGTGTAGCACTCACACCTGCAATCCCAGCATTGAATGAAGAATCAATCACAGACTCCAGAAGCCGACCCATGACTGCATGAGGCTTGTATTCCTGATACATCCTTAATGATGTTGAGGAAAAGGTGAGATGTAGCAGCTATTTGAGGCTTCTTGGGCACACTGCCAGATTGCTTTGCAGAATGGACAGTATCCATTTAAGTTCTGTGAAAACACTGGCTTCACTTTCCTCTCAGCAACCTCAGTGTTTGCAAATCCTTTTTGTTGTGATTTTGGGAATTAAACCCAGGACCTTGTACATACTCAGGGTGTGCAGTAGCAGTGAGCTCCATCCAGTCTCCTGTTAGCAGAACCTGGCTTAGTCTGAGAAGTGATCAGTGTTGGTGTTGTTTCTGCTTTGATGATGCGTGTGCTGAATGCCCCCTCTATCCCAGAGCCTGAGCAGTTGTGTTTCCATTGTCATTTCAGTTTGCATCTCTCTAGGGAAAGATAAACATTTCTTCTCTTCTCCCCCCCCCATGAAGTTATAAAAAATTGAATCCTCCATCCATAGTCCTACCACTGAAAAGAAATTCTGTAAATTAAAAAAATAACATGTGCAGATGATGAATTTCACCATTATGTACTGCAGACATATGCTAATAAAAATTTAAATAAATTTGAATTAATAAGTAAATATCCAGCCAGAGGCAGTCACTGTTACAGGATCCCGTTTCCCCAACCTCTGCCTGGTATTTGCAAATGTATACATGAATGGTAAACCTATTTGTGTTTTCTAAAGCCAAAATTGAAAGATGAGAACAAGCTAGTTTATAATTTGCCTTTTAAAAATAATACTATTTATTGTGATACTCTGGATGAATTCATTATGATAATTTTGCCTTTTTCTTTTGTGAATTTGTATTTCATGTCCTTTGCCCATTTTTCTACTAAATACCTTTGGGCTTTTTCTATTTTTGCATAACACTTTAAGGTTTTTTTTTTTTTTGTGCCCCGAATGCCCTCAGGGGTGGTTTGGCTGGCTGGAGTGTTGTGGGGATCGGAACTACAGCAACCTGAGGCTGACAGCTTTGTGGAAGCAGCCACTTAAACAACTGAGCTAAGGCCAGGCCCCCTTTTATAAGGTGTTTTGTTTTGTTTTTGTTTTTGTTTTTGTTTTTGTTTTTTTCTCTAAATGCCCTAAGGGGTGGTTTGTTTTATAAGGTGTTTTTTTTGTTTTTTTTTGTTTTTGCTGCATAACACTTTATGCAAGGCATTGACTCTTTGTCCATTAAATATTTTGTGTTAGTTTTTCAGTTACCATTTCCCTTCTGTTTTTATCCACTTTTGCTTCTTATTGTGGCTCTTAGGAATGTTTTGGTCCCATTGATCTGTGGTTTCTCCTCTTTCATTCTTCCTTTGTTTCTAGTGTTATTATCTCTTTCTCTACCCTGAAGTCCTCTCTGTTATAACCTGTTCGTGTGACCCAGAGGTGACAGTGACAGGGAGGGGCCAGGCATCCATTCATTTCACCCTATGGGCAGTATGCATGGCCTGCATGACTGTGGGGTCTGTTACTCCCGTCTCCCTGTGGCTCCTTATTTCCTGGTCAGCCTCTACCAGAAGCAGAGTCAGCTTTCCTCACTTTTCCTCCTGTCTCTGGACAGGTCTGTTGCTTTGGTTCTCTGGTTTGGTCCTCTTCCCCTTCTACCCCCTTCCTCTGTCATGGGCCTCTTTGCTGTGATTCTGCCAGAGCCCTCTTTGCTGCCAGTTTCTCGGAGTAGTGCTATCCTCCCAAAGGAAGGGGCCACACCCTTCTCCTGTGTCTCCGCTTTGCTTTTTTGTCCCTACCGTGAAGTTATCATCCCCTTCCCACTATGTGGCTCTTGGACTTCAAGTCCTTCCACCCGTGGCTCTGAGTCCATCTTGTCCACACACTCCTTCCCTTTCTAATCGTCCAATCATTCTGTGCTGTCTCTCAGTTGTCCTAAATTATTTACCTTCTTGGTTACACAGGCTGACGGCTCCAACCGTCTTGATGGGAGGAAGCCAAGCGTCAGGGTGACGGCTGTCCGGGTCACATTTTTCTGACCCCACTTAGAGACTGATCTTTCATTTGTACCTGACCCTGGAAGGCCAGAAAGGCACAAGAACTTGTGTTGACAAGCCTTTGAGTGGACAGGTAGGGTGGGGCAAGGGGTGATGCCCACATGTACAAAGTACATAGAGGCTCAAATGAAGGGATAGAAAGCCCAGAAAGGAACAGTATGTGAATAAATTCAGAATACTGGGATTACAGGCACTCCTATGCCCGGTAGTTTGTCACATTTTTAAAAAATTTGTCAAGTTTTTAAATAACCTTGGAATCAAGAATAGTTATTACAAACATAGAGGGAAAATTATGTCTACAAGTGAAAGCATAAGTCCCTTAGTCTCACCTCATGTAGTTAAATTTTGATGCATTTCTAGGATTGTGATTTCGCAGACATAGCATAGTAGCAGTGTAGGTTGGAAAACCTCGTCTTTATCTCTTTCTAGGTTCTCTGTGTTAAGTCAAATGTATACTACAACTTCCTTTATCCCTGCCCTGGTTTTTGCACTAACCCTCTGAAAAGGCAGTTTTTGCTTTTTGTGAACTATGCATTGTAAGGGTAAATGGCATGAGGACTGTGGGGCAGAGACTCTCCCTCTGTCCACTGAAGTCCCTGTCCCGAAGAAGCTTCTTGATAGCAAGTCAGTTTCTTTCAAAGGACCTGATACACTTCGTTAAGCTCTGGGGCCTGGGCCTGTGAGCTCCCTGCCACCCCTCGCCTGCTGGTGGTGTCGGAGAAGGCAGCGGGTGCTAGAAGGTGGGGAGACTTGACCTGCCTTCCCATGTGAGAGGGAGAAAGGGTCCCCTTGCCTGGCGGAAGGCCACCCTAGATGTTGGGAAGAGGAAAAAGCCGAGATTAAAAAGTATGCACATATATAATGTATTTACTGTGTATATTACGTATCATATTTGGTAATATGAAATTTTTCAGAACCACATTAGGAAAACATGAAACATTGTCCTGCTTTATTTACTTGTGAAGCTTAGAGTAGTTTGGAACATTCTTTGGGATTGTTCGCCTGAAGCCATTGATTATAATATGAAACAGAAATCCGTGCTGCCACCTCGCCCGAGTGGGGCTGCCAGCCACCGCCCCTCCGTAGTGGGAGCTGCACCCAGCACAGAGCAGGTGGAGGCTGGTGGTCACTGCTGCAAAGCCAGCAGCAAGCCGGCTGCAGATTGCTAGCAGATGCTTTTCCTCCTTAGCCCTTAGGAATTTTATAGCCAACAGTAGTTTTTTCTTTTCTTTCTGAGGAGCTTGAGGGAAGTAGGGAAATGAAAACAAACTAAGGATTCAGAAACATGTGTCTTAGTTTTCTCCGTGCCCGGATGTACGGAATACAGATGGAACGCTTCAGAAATTAAAAAAACAAAAACGGTTACATGTTCTTCTTCATCTTGGGTCACTTTAAACCACTCACCTTTTTCCTCTTTAGCAAGAAGATTCTTATAGAACAAAGAAGCTTCAGGAGAAAAGAGAAGGAAATGTGCAAAATCTAAATTGGAATAAAAATCGAACATGTAGAAAAAACAAGAAAAGGGGCACTGCTGCTCAGGTCTCGAGGTATGTCGTGTTTACAGGCCCTTTAGAACTCGAATCAGGTTTGTCATTTTAAAATCCTGCATTTCACTCTTATCTTCTATTGCTGTAACTTGCATAGGTAACGGGGGAGTATAATGTAGTCTTTTGAGATTGAAATACACTTATAAAATGTGTTTTCTTAAAAACATCTCAGGGCCTTAGGAAAAAGCCTATGGCCTGCCTCTGTGCCTGGGCAGAGCCAGGATGGGACCAAGTGGTGTGGCTTTATGCCTGGGCCCCGTCCTCCTTGAGGTGGAAAGTCCCCAAGGCTGGTTTTCTTTCCTGTAAAATGAAGGAGCTGTGTGGTATTTCATGGCATCCTTTACTGCCACAAATAAAAGAAATAGCTTCCTAAAGCTAAGCTGATACAATTTTATTTAGAGGATTTTTTTTTCTTTACTAGGTCAGTAGTGTGTCCGTGTGTGTGCGCGTGTGTGCGTGTACGTGCACACGTGCATTATGACTCAGATCCACCCAGGGTGTGTCAGTCTGCTCTTCTGATTTCTTACATGAGCCTCCCCACACCACACACAGGGACAAGCAGGCGCCTGAACACAGAGCTGCTCCCTGCCTAGGTGTCCCCAGGCCTGGGGAGAGCCATTTCGGTTCTCTTCCTTGCCCTAAGGTTGCCCCTGCTGGGCCTTTCTGATCCACCCACCAGCTCCTGTTCATAGCTGCCTGTGAATGGGCACCAATGTGTGTTTCCCACCCAGGAGCCTCTGTTTCCTCTCAGTTCAGCTTTTTCTTCCGTGTTCTGTCAGAAGATTTCCCCTTCTTGTAGCTCAGCTAGGTAACTGAGCGTGCCCTGGTGAGTTTCTCCCTGGCAGTTCCTGCCTGTGGTTGTGCTGTGCCTTCTCAGTCGGGCTGTGGGAAGGTTCCTGTACTGCAGTGCTGTTTTGTGTCTTTCCCTGGACGCTGTTGCTCAGCTTGCCGGGTACTGCTCCTGAGGAGTCCTGTGAGCATTCCTGGGTGACAGGCAAAGCTCCGAGTGGTCCCCAAGCAAGTGGGAGAACTAAGCACACCTTATTAATCTACTGATGCCACACTAAAGGAGCATTTTCTGCATTGACACCTACGTTACTTGGACTAAATTATTTCAAAGTTGTATTTTATAGAAAAGGAAAGTCTGACCTTGTTGCAGTTTTTTTTACATATACCTTCATAAACATGACGGACTGTAAGATCATTTTAAAGAGTTCCATTTTCCTGCACAGGAGCATATAGAAAGATACAGAAGAAGAATGTGGTTTTATCAATGAAATGTTAGGGTGCATTTTTAAAAGCAAATAGCTGAGATGCTGAAGAAATAATTAAATTGTTAACAACAGTAACTTTCAGGTTTTCTGTAGCCACTCAGTGTTTTGAAGACGCAGGGCTTCCCAAGTCAGTGGCAGTAGTTGGATGGTCCTGTCTTGCTTCTGCCCCCAGATGCTTTGCACCCGTGGCACAGGTGGCGAGGCGTTTGTAAACCAGTGAATGGTTTGCTGCATCTCATCTATTTGCTTTTCTTACCTGCCAGTGGCTGAAATTGAAGGCCATGATGGAGGCCTTGGTTACTCCTGGAGCATTCTGCACGTTTCCATTTTGCCATTTGTGAAGTTGTGTTATAAATCTTCCCTCAAGGAGTTCATAGCCTAGTAGGAGAGATTTGTTGAACTCAGACATCCTTGAGGAAAAGAATGATTCTGTTTTTCCTTGTAGCCACTCTAGCTTTCCTGACTATATACAGGCCATAGTAGTCACTCAGCAGGTGTTTTGCTCAGTGAATGAGAACATGTTTAGCCATCAGTGCCTTCTGTGAGATGGCGAGGAGTAGTAGGTTCCTGTATTGAGAGTCCAGGAGCCAAAGTAGGAGCCCTGGGTGCTGGTCCTTGACCTGCTGTTTAGCAGTTGACATGGAGTGCCCTTGTGGAAGCCTTCCTCATTCTAAAATATGAAAATAAATTGATTCTCATGTAGTTTGTGTTCAAAATGGTATCATGGGTTTTCACTGGCAGAGGTGCTAGGGAGGAAACCCTGGGCCTTGAGCATGCGAATCACAGTCTGCCCTAAGGTGCACTGACCCTGATCCCTGAGTCTTTTCCTTGTTGCTGCCCCTTGCTCATCATATTCATCCCCCAGACCCAAGAGGAGGCGGCCTCAGTTTGTCCCAGGTTCATATTTTCACCACCAGTGAGTCTCATGGGAAGGATGTTTTTGTTGCTCATGATAACATAATTTTAAAAAATTGCTCTTTATTTTTATGGCTCCTCCAGGCCTTCTGAACAGAGTGAACTAAAGCTTGTGTGTAGTGACTTTGAGAGGTCTGAGCTGAGTGGAGATGTCACTGTAAGAAGCTGTTGTATGCAGGAAAACACCCGGGAGCTTCCTAAAGCAGATTTAATGACCGCTAACAGCTCACCCACTGCACAAAGAGAGACAGGTACGTGACAGCGTGGAGCTGAGGAAGGATGGTGTCCTGTGTGCCAGGGACTTGGCCCATGGAAAGCTGTTGGGGTGAGACCAGAAAGCTAAGATTCTTTCTAAGTGTGGGAAGGCCTTCCTGCTGAAATCTGGCCATTCCCATACTTGCTGCTGAAGAAACGGAATACTTTATCTAGTGCAGTGGGACAGTGCCACACCAGCCCTGAGCCTGGTGGTTTCTACAGAGCCAACCCCCCACCCCCCAGCTGGCACTATCCATACGGCCACCTGCTGCCCTGGGCAGGATATAGGAGAGAGGAGCTAGTGGGCCTCAGGCGCCGGCAGGGGTGTTGGTGAGTCCTGGTGCTCCTGCCTTCCCACCCCTGCCTTCCCCAGACGTGTGGCCACAGCCACAGCTGTCTCCAGCTTCTCTCTCTCTCATCCTCTTGCCCTGCTGCTGTTTTCTGGTCTTTTTGGAGATTGTTCCCACCCACGTCAGTAATATTTTGACTTGTAATGGACAACTTCATAAAGAGAGGTAGAAATGCCTTTAAATCTATGATCCAGTAAAGTAGCTTCGTTTTTCTCACTAGAAGTACTTATTATTTTTAGAACCATCTTTGTTTTATTCTTTTGGTGGTGCTGAGATTGAGCCTTGGGCCCTGTGTGAGCTAGACAAACTCCCTGTTACTGAGCCATGTCCCCAGTCCCTAGGACGAGCTTTAGATCAAGGTTCTACTCAGCACTGACTGTCTTAGCCCCAGACAAGTTTGTCTATTTTTTGTCTTTTGAGACAGGGTGTCTATGAAGTTCAGGCTGGCCTGGAGCTCACTTTGTAGCCCAGGCTGGTCTCAAACTTGCAGTGATCCTCCTGCCTCAGCCTCTCAAGTGCTGGGATGACAGGGTATGCGCCAGCATGCCCAGGGACCCAGACAAGTTTAATTGATCATCCATAGGCAGATAAACTTGGCCCACTCTGAAGGTCCCATGGCAAGGGTCAGTGAAGTCTTGGGTCTTCCTGTTGGTGAGTCCAGTGGGGGCCCTAAAGCCAACCTGACCTTGGTTGCCTTCCTAGCCCTGCTCTTGTCTGCTCGCAGTGGCACGGGCTGACACTGCCTCGCTGTATCTCCCCTCCTCCAGAGGGTTACTGCCAGAAGCCCGAGCAGCAACACACAGACAAGATTTGCTCCGATTCCAGCTCCGAAAGTGGGAGCTCCTCAGGCAGCGTGCGTGCCAGCCGGGGCAGCTGGGGCAGCTGGAGCAGCAGCGGCAGCTCCGACAGCGATCGGAAGCCAGTGGTGGACTCTCAGCTCTTCCTGCTGTCTGGTGAGTCTTCCCGCGTGCCCAGCACACCCTCCAGACCTGCCCTCAAGCCAGGGGGCTGCAGCTTGGAGGCCTCGCCGTGCGTCTCGCTTTCTCTTTCCTCCCTGTTCTTCCTTTCCCACTAGTCATACTTGGTGTCTGTTTTGGGTACTGTTCTCAGAGCCTCGCGTTTGTGTCTCTGTTCTTATTGTGGCCAATTGTATATACACAGAATGTTACCAGGGCGGCCACTTTGCAGGTGCAGCGCTGTGACGATTAGGGCATCTGTATTGTTGCATGGCCATTACTCCATCTGTTTCTGGGTTGTTTTACTGTTCGAAGCTGAACCTCTCTCTACTAAACAGCACCTCTCCATCTCCTCCCAGCCCTGGCTCATTGCCCCTGGTGTATGCTGGGTTCCCCACACTTCTTCCCCAGCCTTTCAAACAATTTTCCTGATCTCAGGAGAAATCCTGAGGGTATTACACTGACCTTCTCAGACCCAAAAGCTACAACTCTTGTTGCACAGGTCCTGCTTTACCTTGGTCTTAACCATCCAGCAGAAAAGTATAAAAACGAAATATAAGAAGTAAAGCCATGTTGTTATGTTGAGCTGTGGGGGACTCAGGTCAACGATTTCTGACATTGCCAGTCAAGCGGAAGACCCAATACTATTATGGGCTACTGGACTCTTTAGAATATTTTGCTGAGTTTACACACCTATAATATTCAAATAACAGAATTTAACCAAAAAAGGGGAATACAGATGAATGTCTATTTTGTATCTGTGTATTCAGAGTGGTTAGGATTGATATATAGTTACATTCTCTTAATGAATAGAGGGATTTGTTCTAATGGTGTTTGTAAACAGGATATCATGTCCGCATCTTGTATAGCAATTAACCACTAGGAAGAATGTATGCAATGTGTTAATTATTGAAACTGTCCTACCAACTGATTTGAAACTGTCTCATTGCTATTTGTTTATCAATAAAATTATGGGAAAAAAATAAAATAATAAAATAAATTTTAAAAGAAGAACAGTTTTCCTGAGGACCCCCATGTTATTTTAATTCCACTAGTATACATGGTGCATCTATTTATTGCAGGGTACACTACTTTATACATAAAAAGACCAGATTTTCTAAAGGTCCAAGGGACAGACCAGTTCCTCCTGGGTGGCAGTCTCACATGTTTCGAGAAATGTGGGGATTTAGGTGGAGGGTGGCACTTAGCACCTTGCCCAGTAGTGGGTTGGTTTTCACAGCATATAGTTCACACAGCTCCACTTGGCACTGCAGACTAAGGATTTTCCCTGCAGGACTAGCGTGGTACTTTCTAAACTCAGTGTGCAGCACTAAGGAAAAATACAAGTGCAGCTTTTACCTGGAGGGTAAGGACAAGCTGAGATGAAGGGCAGAGATTACTAATGGTGCTGGTGTGTGGTGGTGTAGTGTGCAGGTGAAGATTATGTATTTGTGGGGAAATAGCATCTGTATATAAGTGGTGTAGAAGGCCAAAGAGGCAAAGTACATATGGAGTATGAGACGGGTTTTTACGTACAGATACATATAAAAAGAGATGCTAAGGTGGTATATCTAAGTGTGTATAATTGTAGGGAATTTATAATTTTTCTTCAGACTTTGACTTCTTTTTGTAGATTTTCTACAGTAGATATATATTATTTTTATGATGGAGTGAGCACTATAGCCATATATGTGTATTTCTTTTATCAGGAAAAAGTTTCTATTAAAAAATTACACAATATTGATGGTTTTAACTCTTCTCTACAATGTAGTATGTTGTTAATGCAAAATTCACAAACTTAAATGTTGATTTTTAAAAACAAAAATGTAAGTTAGGGGCTGGGGATGTAGCTCAAAGGCATAAGCACTTTTATTTTTTTTTTTTGGGGGGGGGAACCGGGGATTGAACTCAGGCCCTTGTGCTTGCCAAGGAAGCACTTATTCCACTGAGCCATCTCCCCGGCCCTAGGCATAAGCACTTGCCTGGCAAGTACAAAAGTCTTGAGTTCAATCCCCATTACAAAGAATAAAAGAAAAGATAAATGATAAAAGGCTTCTAAAAACTAAATGACTATGAAGACATCAGTTTAAAGTGTAAAATAAATTGTGCATTGGAATCAATATTACTAGTAATCAACGCATCCTAATACAGAATGTACACATTTGAATTTTTTTTTAAACTTGCAATTTTTTTTTTTTTAAATGCAGGAGACAGTGTTTCCCAAAGTGATCTTCCTTCTGGAATGCCTCTCACCCTGAACCTTTCCCACCACATCTGCAACCCCACGTAAGCTTGTAAACCTTTACATTATCTTGTGGGTACTGCCTTTTCTTTTCCTTTCTGTCTTCCTGGTTTTTGCCTTTTTGAGCCAGGGTCTCACTATGCAGCTCAGGCTGGCCTTGAGCTCGCTTTGTAGCCCACGCTGGTCTTCAATTCGCAACCATCTTTCTGCCTCAGCCTCCAGAGCGCCAGGATTACAGGCCTGCGCCACTACACCCAGCCATCGTACTATCTTTTCTCTCAGTGTATTTCTTCATAGTGCTTCATTCTGTGTCCTACAATATGAAAACCCTTTAAGGATGCAGAAAAGTAAAATTTAGTTCTATTAACAATTGGGGAAGAATGGTCCCACCAAAGAAGTACAGTTCACATGGCTATGCTTGGCCCCTCTGTCTTCTCAGTGATATATTTAGAAAATGTTATTTCTGAAATTAGAAAGAAAGCAGCAGTAGTCTCTGTGACTGTGTAAATCATGTACTTTTTGCCAGGACTTGAAATGGCATTGACTGTTGTTGATTCTGAAAGTTTGAGAGCTTGGTAAAAATACAGACGTTTGTGACCCTTTAGTGCTGTCTACAGCACTGGACAGAGCGACCAAGCACTCCTGTCCCTTGGTACTCCCAAGGGTGTCTTCAGGACCACACCAAGATCCGCAGGTGCTCAGCACTTCCCTGAGCGGCGCTGTCTTTGCAGACAGCTGCCACAGGCCTCCCGTGCACTTCGGCCCTCTGCACTGCCTGGGATCAGGATGCAGTGTGCGTGCTGCGCTGCCCGGCTTAGGGCAGGCTGCGGGGGGCAGGGGCAGTGAGGAGGCTTGGTGTTCCTGCGGGTCTGCGTAGACCTTGCCACCCTCAGCACGGTTTGCCTTTGAGTCTTTGCACTACATGGTTGGTCGGATTCCAGGTGCGGAACCCATGGGTGGGGCGGGCTGTGCGAGAAGCAGGCAGGGTAATCAGTAATCAGGAAGGATGGGCTTCAGCCAGGCAGGTGTGGTTGGGAGCCTGCCTCCGGAGAGAAGACTGGAGAACCAGACTGGATGGGTCAGTCTGCAGAGAAGGAAGCTTGGCCTGGGCCAGCAGGCTTGGGAAGCTCTTCAGGAACCTTTCGTTACAGGGAGAACATAAAGTAGGCATTCTGAATCGCGGCTGCCTGGGGGTAGGCCGTTTTTAAATTGCAAGGCTACCTCACAGCCTTCCTTAAGTGTTTTGTTGTTGTCTTTTTGCAAAGCAAAGCTTTCCTCGATCTTGGGAGTTCAGTCCTCTTTTCTGGCAGTGAGCTTCTGTCTGTAATACCTGTATGCACATTGGGAAGAGCGCATGTGAAAATGGGGAGCCTTTGTGCGAATGCGTCTTCCTGCACAGAGGTGTCACGTGTTTCCTCTGCTCACTTTCCCAGAGACTTGACTCACCTCCAGCCATATGCAGAGCCTTCCTGCCCTGGCCTTCCTGCTGAGCCCACAGCTGTCCAGGAGGAGAAAGGTGAGGCCAGTCCCTCCTGGCAGGCACCTGCCTGCTGCCCTGGGCTGCTTTCAAGCTGGGGGCCTTACGGTGACGCTGCTTCTGACCAGTCCTGAACCCCTCCTTGCACCCGAGGCATGGTGCCAGCTTCCTGAGGCCCTGGATAGCTAGAGCCTTTGCGGAAGACTCCACCACTCTGTGTCTTCCTTAGCAGAGAGGCTGGGCTCTCAAGCACCTCACCTGTGCTGCTCCAGCACACTCTCTATGGGAGCCTCAGCCCCTGTCCATACCTGCCCCAGGGCTAAGCCGGAGAGCTGAGCTCCCCAGATTTGGGGCGGGGGACGGCTTAGAGTGCAGAGGTGGTGATCACGACACTCTGGGGCTGCTGCTCCGTGGGAGGTTGCCTCCAGATCTCTTTCCCCTCCTCTGCCCTCCTCTTCTACCTCTCTTTGCCTTGGGTTTTGCCTCCTACATTATTAAGGGGCTTCTTTCCTGCAAGCCCATGTCAGGAACTATGGTAGGAGGTGCTTGTCAGGGTTCCTGTCCTTTCTGTTGCACCCATGTAGTGGGGGCAGGGAGAAGTGCTATAACCACTTTTGAAAGCTGAAAGTCTTGTCTGTGGCCAAAAGGCTCTACTCCTCTGCCCGCGTGGGGAACTGTTAGCAAGTAACTTGTAAGTAGGGGAGAAGTGGCAGAGGCCTCCCATTTCTTGACAGCGATGCAGTGTGGTGTATGTTTAACCCAGTCTCTATGGCTCCTGTGTTAAATATAGATGAAGTGAGGTGAGGGCAGAGAAGGAAGACCTGACAGGAAGTTCTTGGGAGGAGGCAAGCAAGTCCTGAAGACAGCCTGGGGCAGGATAGACTGTAGGTTGCCCACACCTCTCCCTGCTGTTCTCAGTTGCATCCTCAGGGGCTGAGACTGCTTGGTTGTAGTGTGTGGACTGTCACCATGTTGGGCTTCTTTTTTCTGAGATGTGACTGTGTTCACCTGAGCATCTCTCCTTCCTGCTGTGTCCTTGGAATCTGTCGCAGGGCCTTGCAGAATGTGGGCCCTCACGCCAAGTGCGTGCTCTTGCTGTCCACATCAAAATGTGACCTGCATCATCTGCAGTGAAGGTCAGAGCAGTGTGCCTTATTTCAGCAGCTCATCCTGAGATAACATCCTGAGAGGCGAGCACAGGGCAGAGTTGGGCAGCATGGACAGTGCTGCTGGGAGGACACTTCTGAGGGCAGAGAAGTTGAGCTGGGCGTCGTGGAAGGGGAGCTGCGGCCGAGTCGGGATGAAGGTGAATTGCGTGGCCTGCTCTCTCCCCAGGTCTGTATCCGTCTGGAGAGCTGTGGCCGCCCCAGTCAGCACGTGTGTCCAACAGCTTGAGCTGCGCCCTGGAGAACAGCGCAGCTGGCATAGTCCGGGAGCCTGCCGCAGTCCCTGACAGGTAGGGCGTGGCCAGCTTGCTTGGCCTCAAGTCTGGTGAGCTTTGTGTAGAGGTTGTTAGGTTGTTCTTACACATCTTAGGACCAGGCTGCTGCTTCAGGTATGTGTTTGCTTTTGCCTTTTGGGATTGCATTGTAATGTTTAGAAAATAACAAAATAGGCAGTGAGAGAAACATGAAGTGAAAGTTACAAATCTAGTGACCCTGTTTTGGTTTTTTTTTTTAAAGAATTCAGACAAGTAGCAAATTTGAAAAAACAACAACAACAACAACAACAAAAAACCCCACAATCTCCACTCACTTAACACAGCAAAGATTTCCTTTATCCATGTATCAGGCTTGGGCACATTAAGAAATTTACAAGATTAGAGACCTTGAGCATCAAAAATACTTACAAAGGGTGGCTTCTCATAGTCACCGTTGGCACTGATCTGTCACTCAGAGAACCTGCAAAAAACGCTGGTGTCTTTAACACTAGAGTCCATTCCCAAGTGTTAGGGGAACTTGGGGTCTTAGAGCGGTGTTGACGTCTCACTTCTCTAAGGAGAATCCTGTTTGCATTCGTGGTCAGATGGCTTCGAGGTGGGGCTCCCTGCACTGAAAGCCAGCTGTGCTCTGTGTGCAAGACTCACGGGAGCGTGGCTAGCCCGTCCCAGGGGAGCTGAGTGCTCCTGGAGCCTTGCCTCGGAGCCTGCGTTCTGTAGTCACAAGAGCAGTACGCCTTGCCCAGGCCATCTGTCCTGCAGATAGAATGGCATCCATGATGAGCATTTCCCAGTTGTTCGATTCTGTGAGTGGAGAAAGTATGTACTTTATCTCAGTTGGGGAATTTGGGATGATTAGGGTGTTTGCTAGTGAAATCATTTCCTTTAGGCCATCTCTTAGCATCTTATGGCTGAGAATAAACTTTTTATTGTGTTTAGTACAGGGTCTACAGGGTCTTACAACGTAGATTGGACTCATAGTGATCCTCCTATTTTCAGCCTCCCAAGAGCTGGGATTACAGGCATGTGCCACCACACCCAGTCTCATTCGCCATCTCAGCACGCCCCAGGGCAGGGCTGGCACAGCATGCCGGGGATCAAACCCCTATCCCTGTGCCTGCTTGCAGGTACTTTAGTCCGCTGAGCTATCTGGCCAGCCCTGAAAGTAAACTTTTTGGTTTTTTGTAGCAGTTTCATTGACTGGAGTGCGACTTGTGAAGGCCAGTTTCCCAGTGTATACTGCCCGCCAGAACTGAGCGACTACAATGACTTTCCGGAAGGTAGGTGCTGTTGGGTGGGTCCTGCTGCCATTCTTGTGTTCTCAGGTCATGGCAGGCGGGGTGTGGGCTGCTGGCATGCACCCTGGAGGGGCTTTCCATTGGCTTGAGGGTGGTTGGACGACCTTGGGCTATGCAGTGAGCTCACAGACGCAGTGTGTATGCCTGCGCCGTGGTATTTTACATGGCCTCACAGAGCCCTTCATTTAGCTGCTGGGCTTCCACATATAACCCTGTTCTTGGACAAGGAGGAGAGCTGGGGCCCAGCTGTTTGGGGCTCACAGGCAGACAAGTCATGTCTGAAAGAAACACTGACTGACTTGTTCTTCAGCTTGACCTGAGTTTTGCCCTGGGCGCAGTGTTGTAGAAGGAACGGAGCTGAGTGGGGAGTTGTGGGCAGGTGCAAGCATCGGTCCTGCCAAGTACTCAGGAGATTTCCTCAGCTGACTGGCACTTGCTCTCACTGTAGATTATAGGCCAGCTCTGTGCTCTGTAGCAGAGCTGCCTTTGCTGGGAAGGGAGGCCTATGTCCCGGATGGCATCAGGTGGTGGTCTTATCTGATTGTTCTCTCTTCACTGAAAGGGGGTGCTTGGTAATTGTGCCCCGGACTGGGAGGCTTTGTGTTTATCTTCTTGATCATGTGAGAAGTTCGAGGTCCCCCACTGCTCTGTTGAGTCCTGTGGTACCCGTGCACCCGTGCAAGTGGCTGAGTCTGATGGAATAATTTTTTATTGAGCCACAGTAGTAATGTAGTTTGGTGGTGGTGCATTCACCCCACGTATGTGAGACTCTGAGTTGCGGGGAAGAAGATTGAAGGACTGGTACACCCTTCACTATTCCAATGGGTAGTAGCAGCTTAAGTGCACTTTGTGTATTAGCAAGATTCCCATCAAAAGTCAGCTACAAAAGTAGCTGAGGAAGACTTTGCTCACTGAGGGGTCCCCTTTAGTGTGTCTCAGGCAGTGTTAACCTGGAGACACAGTGGAATGACCACCTGGGCCACACAGTGAGATGTTGCCTGTCTTTCACTTCTGTACTTTGTAAGGCCTTTCAATGCCCTTTTTGCTTGAGAGAAAGTGTTTCTTCACAGAGTGAGAATTCCAGATCTTTTCTCCATGAAAATGTCAACCTGCCAGGGATATAGCTCAGTGCCATAAGTGCCTTCCTGGCAAATGCAGGGTCTGGAGTTCAATCCCTAATACTGGGGGAAAAAAAAAAGTTATAATTTCTGTGTGTGGAGTCACACACCTGTAACCCCAGTGCTGGGGAGGCTGAGATAAGAGGAACACTACTAGTCTGAACTGAGTAGCAAGACCCTGTACCAAATAAATAAATAAAAGATTAAAAAAAGAAAATGTCAACCTATGTTTTCTCCATTCTTTGTAGAAAATCTGAGTTATGCAAATGGGTTTCCCTGTCCTGCGGTTCGGACTGACTTTATTGATCACAACTCTCAGTCTACCTGGAACACAGAACCCACCCTGCCAGCTAACTGGGACCAGGCTGGCTTCGTCAGCTCACCGGTAGGTGTTACTCTCTGTGTGCCTCCAGTCACTCGCACCTTCTCAGACCCTGGCCTCAACTTTAGGGTTGTGTCCCAGTCAGCCAGTGCCACCCTCCATAGGAACCTGATTAGGGTCACTCAGTGGGGGCTTGCAGACACTGCGGCTGCCCTCATGAAAACATCACTTCAAACTACACTAAGTAGAGACTGTCTGTGGACAAGCTCAACTCAGTCTGGGAGGCCCTCTGTGACCCAGATGTCCATTCTCGGGCTCACTGACCTTTCGTCTGTGACAAGAAAAGAAGTAAATGTCCAAAAAGGTTAGTCAGGGTCTCTCCACTTCATTTTCAAATGAAAGACATCTAGTTGTGAGTGCTTCCTTAGATTATAAATAAGTTTATCCAGGTGGATGAGAATTTCACAGTCCTCCTTTTGAGCTAAATGGGGTTAAAGCAACCCAGATTATTGAGAATAGTGTTAGTGTCTTACATTGATCTTTACCAGTGCCTTTTATAGCATCCTTTTCATTTCTTTTCTGTGATTTTCTTTCTCCCTTCATTTACACTTAAGCCCTACCTCACCAGTACCCGAAGCTTGTCTCCAATGTCTGGACTTTTTGGTTCCATCTGGGCCCCACAGAACGACATGTATGAAAGTTGCTGCCCTGTCAGTCCCAGCACGGAACACACAACCCACATGGAAAACCAGGCGGTCATGTGCAAGGAGTACTACCCTGGCTTTAACCCCTTTCGTGCCTACATGAACCTGGACATATGGACTACTGCGGCAAATCGCAATGCAAACTTCCCGCTGTCCAGAGACTCAAGCTACTGTGGGAACATGTGAAAGAAATGCAGTTTTAATGTGAATAAAGAGGCTTGTGTTTTGGTTTCTAGTGTAAACTGGTTGTTGAGATAGATTATGACGTTGCGGATATTTTGGCACTTTTATATGAAAATAAATTTTTTAATAAAATCTGGGTGCTCTATTTTTTAACCCTTTAATTCAGTGGCAGAGACTGCACCCTGTCATAGCTTTGAGAACCTGAGAAGCATGAGACACCCAGCACCTCAGAGCAGGGAGGCGAAGGAAGTGAGGTTGGGAGGCTGCCTTTCTCTTCCCTGAGCATCAGCCCCTTGGGGGAGCTCTGACCAAGGCGAGGAGCCCAGACCGGGGCTTCAGATCACAAGGACCAATGGCTCAGGCAGTCTGGACTTTTCTGTACGTTCTCAGCAGTGGACTGACACCAGTCCCTGTTGAGAACAGCAATCAGGAAAGGCCAGCGTAGCCCGTCACTTGGATGCTGCTGAGGCCAGAGGGGGGCTCTCTTGGGCCTGATGCACCTGGCTGCTGGGAGGAAGCAGGCCTAGTGCCGTCCTCTAGTCCCGGATCGGGATGTGGCTAGGTGCTTCCCTCTCTGACCAGGCCAGAAACAGGCAAAGCCAGCAGGCAGGCCTTTGCTAAGTGGTGCACCCCTCCCCAGTGAGCAGGTGCACCCCAAACACACATGCACGGAGCAGGGCGGACAGCTGGGGCCTTTGCCAGATGGGTCTGTGTCTCTTGTCATGGGCTTAAGTACGTATTATGATGGAACATCCACTTGCCATGTGTACACTTGGAAAACATCTTGAACTTTTAATAAAAATGCGTTTTTATATTTAGTTTTGTCTCTAATGCATATTCAAATGCATTTGCTTATTTGGGTTTCTTTTTGTCTTGGTTGAGTGGAACCTGGACAGAACACACCGTGTAAATACCTTGTGACAAGGTCGCCCCGAAAGAAAAGTGCGTCCTTGCTAGTGCCAAGAAGAGGCGTAGGCGGGAGGCTGCCAGTGGGGACGGATGTCCGTCCGCGTAGGACCTGGAGGGGTGATGTGTTTAGTGCCACAAAAAAGTTAAAATGGTATTTTGTTATACATGTCTAACCACAATGAGAATTCAGATTGATGAAAAAAAAAATCCCCAAATCATCTCTAGGATCAAAGAGAGAACTTTCCTACTGGGGAGAATATCTTAGTTACAAGCTCTGCCTCTGAATCTAACATATTCTCCGCATGTGTTAGAAGGATCGGTCTTATTTTTCTGCTTTCGTTATTCCCATCAGGAAAACCACAATATGCTCTTTATACATAAAAAGAAAACCGAAACCTTCACTTCTATTGGATTACCCTTAGCGCAGGGACTAAAATAATGAGGAAACACGGTTTTCTTTAAACATTTATTGAGTACCTCCTTGGAGTTTGGAGCTGCTATCAGGGCGATGGCGCAGAATGAAACAAGGTCCTGCATGTGGTCACATTTCAGAAACAGGACAATAAAGGAAAAATAGACTTTCAGTGCCACAGAGTGCATTGAGTGTAACTACCGGGGAAGGGATGAGGAGGTGAGAGAGGGCAGTGGCAGTTTCTAAGAGTGGGTGTGGCAAGATCTGGGGCGCAGTCTTCTAGCGGGTGAGATGGGGTGCAAAGGCTGGGACAGGCTGCCCGCGCTGCGGGAAGGCGGGAGAGGCGGGCTGCAGAGGCGGAGGTGGGTTGCGGCTGCAGAGGCGAGCCGGCTGCAGAGGCGAGCCGGCTGCAGAGGCGAGCCGGCTGCAGAGGCGCGGCTGGGCACCGCTTGAAGCGCACGTAGCGCAGCGGGTGGCCGCTGAGCGGAGAGGGCTTGGGAGCTGAGGGCTCAGCTGCCGCACTGGGAGCTCCAGCCAGACGGCAGAGGACCCCCAGCTCCGGAGAGGGCGTGGGCCTGGTGCGCGCTGGGTGAGGCAGGCGTGTGGGGACCCGGCCCGAGGCCGGGAGGGCGCCAAAGCGTGGGAAGAGACTACCCTCGAGAAGGTAAGGCGGCCTCACACGTACTGCGCAGCAGCGAAGGACGCTTCGGCAGCTCCGCGGTGGCTGCTGTGCGCCTGCGCAGAATTCTCGCCGTGCTCCGGGAGGGCTGGTGCTGCCCCCCCTTCCCCCCAGCCTCCCCGCGGGCTTTGGGGACACCGCCAGCCTCGAGGGCCCCTGGCGCGCCCTCGTTTCAATGAGATCCTCGAGCTGTTGAGGACAAATCAGCAGGTCTTGATCAATGGCCTATTTCCTCTTTGTAAAACATCGAGTTTTTTTGTTTTTTATTTAGTACAGGGCCTACAGGGTCTCACTACACACACTCATAGTGATCCTGTTTTCAGCTTCCCAAGAGCTGGGATTCCAGGTGCGCGCCACCACGCCCAGTCTCATCTATTTTGTTTTTAATTGACATAATTGTACATATTGAAAGGGTTCAGTGTCACATCTCAGATCACCTCAAATATTTATTGCTTCCTTGTGTTGGGGACATTCAAAATCGTGCCTACAAGCTAATTAAAAGCTGTATAGCTCCTCAGTGCCAGCAGCACTTACCTTCCTGTGATGAGCTAGAACTTACTCCTACCAGCCGTGTTCCTTTACCCATTAACCATTCCCTGTCACTTCCCTGCTCACACTTGTCTACTTTCTGCTCGGCCGCATCAACTTCTTGGCTTCCACACGAAATGAGAGCATGTGGATTCTCTCCGTGCCTGGCTTCCGACCACGTGAGGTGAATGCTTCAAATGACAGCGCTGCCTTCTTTTAATACTCCATTGTTTTGCACCACATCTTCTCTGTCCAGCACTGGACACTCGCGGATTCTGCATCTCGGCTTCTGTGAGCAGCCTGCGGGCCTGTTCTGCAGGCGTTGTGTGGGAACGCAGCCTTTCCTCATGTATGTCTCCCCGTGAGGGCAGAGGGTGACCGACGCAGCCCGCCCTCTAATGAAGGTTCTCTACCCTCTCATGAAAACGCTTGCTAACCTTTGCTGCAAAGGGTGGCAGATGGGCGCCGCCTGCGTCCCGTAAGCGTCTCTGCCATTCTAGCCCAGTGCTCCAGCCTCTAAGATAGGGAGGGAAGTCAAAAAGAAATAGAGCCTGCTTCCTCAGTCCACTGTTCAGGGTGTGTGTGTGTGTGTGTGTGTGTGTGTTTCACTGTAATTACAGTTCCTTACATTTATTTCACTGTAATGAACTAGCTGGCGCAGGCTCTTTCTGAGGAAAGAGGCTTATTTCCCTCGCAGTCCCAGAGGCTCCAAGCCCGAACAGCTAGCTCAGTGCCGGCTTTGGGGCGGGCAGGGGCCGTCCCTTGGCCAGCCTCCGGGACAGCAGCCGTGTTTGGGAGGAGGAAGAGCTTCTAGTAGGCACCGACAGCCGGGTGGTGCCAGGCTTGCTCTTTTTATAACAGCGTTCCTGGGAGAGAGAACTACTTCCTGGTAATCATGACCAACGATTCCCCCTCCCCTCATTTAAGAGAAAAATCCTAAGACGCCCCTTAGTAGGCTTTCACACAAGCATTCTAGTTACCGCTGGTCAGTGATGGTGTCGTACAGCCTGGTACAGGACTGATGATGTGGGCGGAATTAGAACTGCAGCTGCTTCCCTGACTCCACCAATATGCCGCCTGCTGAGTCTTCGTGCTCCGGAGTCCTCCCTCAACCCTGCGGCGCGATGGCTAAAGGCGTAGTCTGTATTGCCCTCTAGTGATCCGTGTGCGCGCGGAAAGGGCTCCGGCTTGCTCAGCGAGCTCTGCTGTGCGCAGACTCCTCCTCTGCGGTTGCCGTTATTCGTTGCATCGAATGTCCAAGTCCTTTAATAGCTTCAGTTTGGGCATTCTGATTCATTATTATATAAGCCCAAACTAAATGGTTATCTATTCTTTGTTTAAAAAGAAGAACAAGGAAAAACAAAGCATAATAATAAAATATTCTCCAACAAGAAAAAAATTATCTTCGTTATTTCTAACGAACTATAGTTTTGTAGAATACTTTTAACCAGAGAAACAATTAACCTAATCACTTTTCTTATTTTATTTTAGCATTTCCAGATTGTAAGAAATAACAAGCAGATATAGTCAAAACTAATGTTTATTGATAGTCTCTAAAAACTACTTTTGGTAGAATTTAATTAATTCTCCTAAATCTTATTGAAGTGTTTTTTTTTTTGTTTTGAGTTGTTTTAATTATTTTTTTTTATTTTTTGAAGAATACAAAATAATAATTTAAAAAGCAAGGTTTTGTTTTTGTTTTAAAAAGGGGGCCGGCAAGATAGCTCAGCAGACTAAAAGCAACTTAGGCAAATTCAGGGACTGCAGTTTGATCCCTGGCACCACATGCCACACCCGCCTCATCCCCAGGGTGCCCTGAATCAGCAGCCAGAGTCCCAGAGTAATGGTGCATGCCTGTCATCCCAGCACTGGGAGGCTGAAAGCAGGAGGATCACCCTTAGTCTGAGCTGTGTGGAGACCCTGTAACAACTATAACAACAACAAAAAACCAGCATTGGAAATGAAACAAATTTGTTTTTACTTTGGTACCAGGACTCAAACCTTATGCTGCTAGGCAAGCCCCTGTGCCCCTGAGGCATATCTGAAGCCCCATTTCTCCTAAATCTTGTCAGACCCTCATTCAGATCAAGAATTTTCTTACCCCCTTGGTTTTTTTTAATTTGCTCTTGTTCGTTTTCTTAGAGAAGAATGTATAAATCTAATTTGAATGCTTCTTTGAGTGGGAACACTGAGTTTGATTTGGTGTCTGAAAGAGACTTGCACAGAATGCTGCAGTGATCTTCACACCTTGCTTGGGCTGAATCCTTCAGTCTCCAGTGTGCAGACCCCTCGGCCCGCCTCCTCATCTGACTCTGTAGCTGACCATCATAAGCCAACCTTGTAATTTCCTGTACATTTGAACATCTTTTGTCATATCTGTTCTTTGTGTTATATCTGTTCCTCTAGTAAAACCCTGACTAATACTTGCCCATATAGAAGCAAGTGCCAGGTGTTTCAGCCAGGAAGTTTATCATTAGTGGAGGCTCGCATCCAACATTGAAGAAATCTTGTGTGGCCCCTAAAAGTTGTCTGTGCAAACAGTCCAAAGTACAGCAGCAAACAAAAGGACTAGCAGAAGGTAGGGGATGAGAAACCAGATGGAAAAGCAGTACATGAGTTGCCCTGGGGTTTTTGCACCCTTAATTAGATGAAGATGTGTAGGAGTTGTGAAGACCACTCAGGCACCAAGGGCTCAGGATCAAGAAGAGCAGAGTTGTCAGGTGGAGTGGTGTTGCCTGGACACCACTTGGCTTGCAAGATGTGGAAACAGGAGGGCAGGGCAGCTGGTGACTTTTACTTCTGTTGCTCTTGGGAGGAGGACCATCCATGTAGGATCTAATCCGGCAGGCTTAGAGGATTCAAGATATATTAAATCTCCAGGAAATATAGATGGCAACTATTGAATAGTATCTATTGGTTGTGGGAGGCAGGTGTCTGCATGTTGTCACAGCAGGTACCAGAGGAAGGACACAATGGGAATATAGTCAGCAATGTGAGGAAGGTTATCAGGAGTGGGGAAGTTGTGAAGCAGAACAGGTCTCTCATACATGAGCTCGAATGGACTTAGGAAGCTGGTTGCTCTAGGAAGTGCCCCGAATCTAGTTAGAGCCAAAGGACAGAGCTGAGGCCAAGACTGGTGCAGCTCCAGGGTAAATTTGGTGATGTGGGTCTTTAAAAGGCCATTTTCCTGTATTCCCCTTTGGTGTTTAGGGGCTACTGGACATTGGAGAACACCGGGGAAGGCTGGGGGATCCCTGAGGCAAACTAG